ATATATTCCTCCGACTATGAGATTATGCAACTCCCGGACACCAGAAGAATACCTTGTGTGCTATCAAACATCACATCATAACTGGATGATTATAAAGATGCTCTATAGGTATCTCCGAAGGTGTTTGCTGGGTTGGCATAGATCGCGATTAGGATTTTTCACTCCGAGTGTCGAAGAGGTATCTCTGGGCCCTCTCGGTAATGCACATCATATAAAGCCTTGCAAGCAATGTGACTAATGAGTTAGTTCCGGGATGATGCACTACAGAACGAGTAAAGAGACTTGCCGGTAACGAGATTGAACTAGGTATGAGGATACCGACGATCGAATCTCGGGCAAGTAACATACCGATGACAAAGGGAATAACGTGTGTTGACATTGCGAATCGACCGATAAAGATATTCTTAGAATATGTGGGAACCAATATGAGCAACCAGGTTCCGCTATTGGTTATTGACCGGAGAGGTGTCTCGGTCATATCTACATAGTTCTCGAACCCGTAGGGTTCGCAAGCTTAACGTTCGATGACGATATGTATTATATGAGTTATGTGTTTTGGTGACCGAAGGTTGTTTGGAGTCACGGATGAGATCACAGACATGAAGAGGAGCCTCGGTCGAGAGGTAAAGATTGATATATTGCAAGGTAGTATTCGGACATTGGAAGGGTTTCGGAGTGTATCGGGTACATACCGGAGTACCGGAGGGGCTACTGGAACCCCCTGCCAAAGGTATGGGCCATATGGGCCATAAGAGGGAGGCTAACTAGCCCACAAGGGGCTGGTGTGCCCTCCCCCCACAAGGGAGGAGGCCAAATTGGAGTGGGGAAGGGGGTGGCGCCCCTCTTTCCTTCTCCTTCTCCCTCTCCTTCCCCCTTTCCCTCTCCGGTAAAAGGAAGGGGGTCCGAATTGGACTTGGAGTCCTAGTAGGACTCGTCCCCACTTGGGGACATGCCTTGGCCGGCCTCCTTCCCTCCCCCTCCTTTATATACGGGGGCAGGGGGCACCCCAAAGACACATCAATTGTCTTAGCCATGTGCGGCGCCCCCTTCCACCGTTTACTCCTCCGGTCTCATATTGTCGTAGTGCTTATGCGAAGCTCTGCATGGATCACATCATCAACACCGTCATCATGCCGTCATGCTGACGGAACTCATCGACTCTTTCGTGCCTCTACTGGATTAAGAGTTCGAGGGACGTCATCGAGCTGAACGTGTGCAGAACTCGCAGGTGCCGCATGTTCGGTACTTGATCGATTGATTCGATAAGACGTCCGACTACATCAACCGCGTTGATTTAACGCTTTCGCTTTCGGTCTACGAGGGTACGTGGACACACCCTCCCCCTCTCGTTGTTATGCATCTCCTAGATAGATCCTACGTGAGCGTAGGAAATTTTGTGAAATTGCATGCTACGTTTCCTAACACCAACCACACCGCCAATCAGGGCCGCCAACGGCACATCTGGCTTAGAGTCGGACGCGTCGCCACCCAGAACCCAGAAGTGGTTGGACCCCACCAAGAGAGCCTGCCCCGAGCCGCCGGACCGGGAAGGGTAGGGAGGAGGAGCAGAGGCAGCATCAGCGGCAATGGGCAGGGGGAAGAGGGCGGAGCAAGGGCCGGAGG